GCCTGTGGAAGGAGGAGCCCCTGCTGGAGCAGCTTGTCCCTGAAAGGCTGTACCCGTGGTAGGGTGGCCCACGCTGCAGCAGCCTGAAGGGACTTTCACCCACTAGAGGGATTCAGACTGCAGCAGTGTGATGGGGAGTGTTGCCTGTGGGATGGACTCACACTGCAGTAATTCACAGGGATCTGCTGCCTGTGAGACGGACTCATGCTGCAAAAGTTCATGGAGAACTGTCTCCCATGGGAGAGACCCCATGGAGCAGCAGGGGAGTGACTGCTTTCCCTGATGAACTGATTGTCACCCCCATTGCCTGTGTCCCTGCACAGCTGGGGTAGGAGGTAGAGCTGGGAAGGAGGGTGTGGGAAGATGATGTTTTTAAGGTTTTATGTTGTTTCTCATTATCCTGCTCTGACTATTTAGCCATGAATTCAATTAGTATCTCTAATAAGACTCTCTTTTGCCTGTGACAGTATCTGACGAGCGATCTCTCCTGGTCCTTATCTCAACCCTTTTTTGTATTTTCTCTCCTCTGTCCAGCTGTGGAGGCGAATGTTAAGAGAGGCTTTGGTGGGTGCCTTGCATCCAACCCACTACATGGGAGCCTGCTCCTGGATCATGTAGCAGCTCCTGCCCCACTGCTCTGGGAATTACAGCCTGTTGGAAAGCACTTGCTAGCACAGCACTATGTAGAACAAAGATGGAATTTTCCTCTTAAGCGTTTCTGATAGCCACCAGCGGAAGAATGGCATATTCACCACCCCATCCAGCTGCCTCGAGATGTTGGCAATTGGTGGGTTACACTGATGGAAAAAATATTTACCCTAAAAATCCTGCAATGCACCAGAGCAGAGAACTAAGCACAGAACTTACTCACAATGGCTGGAGACAAAAGAGCTACAGCTAAAGCTATCACAGCCTCTAGTCATCATGCACACCCTAAAACATGTCTCATCTATGGCAAGAGACCAGAAACAAGCCTAGCTGCTGGCTGTTCTTGCTCCCCAGCTGATTTTCATTGATGTTTGCCTTACATAATTCCACTTCAGGGCCTTTGCTGGATTTCCATCTGGCCATCACTCTCTCATGGCCGATTCCTTCCATTTTAAACCTTTGCTCCATCCCTGTGACATCTGCTGTTTTGTAATACCCCACACCCATCCCGAGCTCCTCTTTCAGTCCGTGGACAAGCCCCCTGTCATCTGCTGAGCTCCTCTGCCACATAAGCCTCTCTGCATTCACCTTCACCAGAGGCTGCTTCAGTTCTGGCTGGACAGCTGCACACACATTGCCTCAAGTAGCTCCTCACTCATCTGTGTATGAGTATCATCAGAAACAACTATTAGGCACCCAAACTGCTTTTAATTGACCAGCAGTAACTCAGTGTTTCGCTCAGTACTTATAAAAGGTCACAGTTCTGTGTTTTCCAGTTCTGACTAATAGTATCCACCACCTGTAACCCCCAGAAGTGGCAATATTGCTCAGCTGCTTTTCACATCTCTCTTTAGCACATGCTATTAAGAGACCATTTACCTAATCAATTACACATTGAAAAGTATCTCTAGTGTCTAAAGGTACTCTAAAAGCTGGATGCAATGGAGGAACTACTTCCTGAAACTTGTGGATGTGCTAAATCAATGACTGGTCATTGATTAAAGGCTGGAGCACTCACCTTGAGCTTTAACACTTCAGCTGATCAGCATGTGCACATGAGTACGTATCGGTGCAAAGGATTGTCTTCTGCTTCAACTGACAAACTGCTGGATAGCTTTTAAATGAAAAAAAAAATAAATAAAATAAATAAAATCTGTATTCCTCCAGACCCAGGGGAACAAACAAGCCAGACCTTCCGGATCCAAGCCCCAAGCCCTGTCAGTAACACACACAGCACTAAGGGATGCACAGCATGGCTGGGTGCTTAGATTACCAACTTCTGAACTCAGGAAAGAAAGGAGGAAAAGGCAAACTTCTGGATTATTTAACAAAGTAATTTCAGCAACGATCACTCTTGGTAACCTAATGGAACAGAGGAGCAAAGTCCTCTGCCCAGAGACAAGAAATGACTGTGTATGGCTCAGCTCACGGCCACATAACACACTCTGACCTCAGTCTGCTGGAGCATCCTCCATATGGGGACAGCAGGGGCAACCTGGATGGCTGGACTCACCCTTGACTACCAGCAAAATGCTGAAACAGTCCTGACCTGGTGCTGTG